TTCGTGCATCTGTCTCTCTCTCTCTCTCTCTCTCTCTCTCTCTCTCTCTATATATATATATATATATATATATATTAGGGATGGCAATTTGTAATCGGTTAACCGGTTACTCGGTCGGAACGATGGTAATCGGTTAGAAAATCTGTAATCGGTTAGTTGGAAAAAAATTTAAATAGATGTAAAAGTCCTTAAAACACGATTAACAATGTTAAAAACCCTGAATATTGATAAGTTTTAACGTTTCCAAATTTAATTCGACTGATTAGGAGGTAAATAATTTAATTAAGACGCTCAAGACTGAATTTGTTGGGGGTAATTGGTCACTTTGCGAAGTGTTAATTGCTGTTTAAATACCATGTCGTTACCCAGCCTGTCTTAATTATGATATTGATTAAATCTTTTTTGAGTTCTGTTAAATGATTGCGATGTGTATCTTACCCTGTCTATCCTTCGCAGTTATCTATCAAATTATATTTTCAAACACACATTGTAAAATATTTCAGACCCAGTTTCTGCTTATGGTGACAATGCACAATGACCTTGTGTTGTAACAATATCAATTTCTGTGATTTCTAAGAGATGTTTCATGGTTTCCTTATTATACCCGCACTTTCTAAAGAAAGTTCGGGTATATTGTTGTTACTCATGTCTGTCCGTCCGTCCGTCCGGACGGACGGACGGACATACATTAGGTTATATATTGGGTACGTCAAGTCCAAGTCTTCTTGGATATTGCTTATTGGATATAAAAAAAGTGTACATACGAGAGAGCATTCTTTGGGTAGTAACTGTTTAAATCTTATTGGGTATAAATGCTTATGTCCAAAACTTTATTGAGATTTTTCTTATAATTCTTGATTCATACCAAATTTGTGGCTGTTTAATTGTTTGCAGGTAAATTTAGAGAAGACTGTAAACCTTTGATTTGGAACACACTTTTTTCATACTTTCTGTAATATAGCTTTTTTGAGAAGTAAATATTGTTACCATCCACATTATTCCTGGCAAATTAGGATATATATTTAAAAATACCTCATACTGGAATGTGTTTACCTAAATGCAATACACATACGAAGACAACCCAACACATCTCAGACACCTGTTTAACCCTTCTTGGATACTTAAAACAAGCATTTGATGAGAAACCCAACAAGTCAATTGAATCATGTCTAATTCCTACTGGATACATATAAACTTGTATTAGAATATAAGCCAACAGGTATTGGACACCTGTCCAACTCCTCTTGGATACCTACATCCCTTAAAACAGATACAACCCTACAGGTATGGATCTGTCCAATTCCTCTTGGATATCTACATCACTTCATCTGAATACAAGCCAACAGGTATTGGACACCTGTCCAACTCCTCTTGGATACCTGCATCCCTTCATCAGAATACAACCCAACACGTAATGGACACCTGTCCATCTCTTGGATACCTACATTCTACCCAACAGGTATTGGACACTTGTCCAATTCTTATTGGGTTAATTAAATTCCCTCATCAGAATACAACCCAAAAGGTATTGGACACCTGTCCATCTCCTCTTGGATATCTACATTCCACTCAACAGGTAATGGACACTTGTCCAATTCTTCTTGGGTTTCTTGAATCCCTTCATCAGAATACAACCCAACAGGTGTTGGACACCTGTCCAACACCTCTTGGATACCTACATTCAACCCAACAGGTAAAGTACACTTGTCCAATTCTTCTTGGGTTAATGAAATCCTTTCATCACAATACAACCCAACAGGTATTGGACACCTGTCAAACTCCTCTTGGATACCTATATTCCACCCAACAGGTATTGGACACCTGTCCAACTCCTCTTGGATACCTACTTTCCATCCAACAAGGAAATGACACTTGTCCAATTTTTCTTGGGTTACTTGAATCCCTTCATCAGAATGCAACCCAACAGGCATTGGACACCTGTCCAACTCCTCTTGGATACCTACATTCCACCCAACAGGTATTGGACACTTGTCCAATTCTTCTTGGGTTAATGAAATCCTTTCATCACAATACAACCCAACAGGTATTGGACACCTGTCAAACTCCTCTTGGATACCTTCATTCCACCCAACAGGTATTGGACACTTGTCCAACTCCTCTTGGTTACCTGCATCCCTTCCTTAGAATACAACCCAACAGGTAATAGACACTTGTCCAATTCTTCTTGGGTTAATTAAATCCTTTCATCACAATATAACCCAACAGGTATTGGACACCTGTCCAACTCCTCTTGGATACCTACTTTCCACCCAACAGGGTAATGGACACTTGTCCAATTCTTCTTGGGTTACTTGAATCCTTTCATCACATATAACCCAACAGGTATTGGACACCTGTCCAACTCCTCTTGGATATTTACTTTCCACCCAACAGGGTAATGGACACTTGTCCAATTCTTCTTGGGTTACTTGAATCCCTTCATAAGAATATAACCCAACAGGTATTGGACAATTGTCCAACTCCTCTTGGTTATCTGCATCCCTTCTCTTAGAATACAACCCAACAGGTAATGGACACTTTTCCAATTCTTCTTGGGTTACTTGAATCCCTTCATCAGAATACAACCAACAGTTCAAATTGCAGTTTTGTTTCTTATTTTAAATTTCTGATTTAATTTAAAAAAAATCAGTTTAATGGTTTGAACGTGCAGGAATTCTTAAAATTCAGCGACAACAATATTCTTCATAAAATTACATCAAACACCTGCATTTGTAAACATGGCACAAGGTCTGTTATTGATTTTGTTTACTTTTTACTGGACTTGTTAGATTTGCTAACTTTGCACACATCACTGCACACTTACTGACAGCACTGGTGAATCAGTTTTTGCTTTCTACATTTTTATTATCACTTTTCTTGATTACAGTTTTAATATGTTCTATTGATATGCCACAGAATTTCCACTTTTTTTAAATACTAAGGATGAATTTCAGTTTGAGAAAATGCAAGAATGTACAGCAATCATACACACCCAAAATTCATTCTTTTATAATTTTATGATAAATGAAGTTTCATAACACGCTTTAACAATGTCAGTCTGAAATGCTATTAAAGTTATGATATTATACTGACAATTTTGAAAAATATTAGCTTCAAATCTGTACCAATGCCTCTTTAATGACAAAAGGCCCAAGTAGCCCTAAATAAATAAGATCCCTTAATTGTAAATATTTGCTATCAGTTGCTATGATTAAACGGATTCTCATCAACAGAAGAAAATCCATGAAATTGCTATATATTCTCTAGTGCCACATTGCTAAATAGATTGCACCCTTGAGTGCATATTTTCTATCAGTTGCTCTGATAAAACAAAAAATTCTCATCAAATGTACAGAAAATCCATAAAAAAGTTTATATACATGCATCTTCCTAAACCAAACATTCTTCAAGTTAATGAAAATTCTCTTCTGTCATAGAAAAAAAAAAAATCTCAAACTGATTACATGCTACTGTAAAATAAATCATACAGCTTCCTGTACAATACAGATACAATGCATATATTCCCTGTAATAAAAGAAATGACTTGTGATATTCACCATTAACTCAAATTCAGCAAGTATGAAGTACAATTAATAAACTACTTTGTTTAAAAACTAAAAACTTATGCCCTATGTCAAATCTTTTCTACAAATCTGCATCAAAATATTCAATCAAATATCCACTGTAATTAGAGCAGGGGAAGAGTCAAACATCATTCCGTGACAAAATTTCACAGGTAGGGCTTTAATCCTATATAATAAAAAATGTCAAAATGGTTTAATTTTTGTTTCTGGATTATGCTCCATACTTTCTTCTTCAGGGACTCCCATGGCCTATACTGTATGCACCTTCATTGGCCCTGTTCTTCTCTATTGCCATATTGCAATCTTTCCTTCCTGGAGTGGTGTTTGTGTTCAGACATTCTCTGAAATATTCATGCACCTCCTTCAGTTTTGCCTCCATCCACTTTATTCATGCTGCAATTAGATTATCAGTACACATTTGTATTTGACTCTTGATTCAATTTCAAAGTGTTATCAGACACTGGACGGGAACCAAATAGCTATAGGTCACCTAGGTGAGTCAAGTGACCTAAAAAACAGTAAACTTACGCAAAAATGAAGGGGACCAATTAGACTTAATTACATATTCTATTCAAGTGGAATAAAATGGAAATTTTAACTCAATAAATGTAATCAATCAAGATTTATATAATACAAAGTTTTAAATAAATGACATTTTCATCCCCATCCAAAGACAGATATATAATTAAATAGGAGTATTCATAACATTTCAGATTTACAGGCAATTCAATTCATAACAAGAGGCCTAGGGGCCACATCGCTCACCTGAGCACTATGGCTAGAAAAAAAGCAGAAATTAGTTCAGTCTTGAAAGGTTGAAAAGTTTAAATATAAAAGTGGGGGGGGGGGGGGGGGGGGGGTCATGAATTGAACTAATTTGAATCTACATTATTTGAGGATGCTTCCATTTAAATATGACCAATCATGGCTTTGCTGTTCTTGAGAAGAAGATTTTTAAAGATTTTTCCTATATATTCCTACGTAAAACTTTGATCGCCCATTGTGGCCCCACCCGACCCCCAGGGGTCATGATTTGAACAAACTTGAATCTACACTACCTGAGGATGCTTCCACATAAGTTTCATATGTTCAAGCACAGTGGTTCTTGAGAAGAAGATTTTTTAATGATGCCATTAATTTTTCACAAATTCTTAATTATCTCCCCTTGGAAGAAGGCGTGGCCCTTCATTTGAACAAACTTGAATCCCCTTTACCCAAGGATACTTTGTGGCAAGTTTGGTTGAAATTGGCCCAGTGGTTCTTGAGAAGAAGATGAAAATGTGAAAAGTTTAAAACAACAACGACAACAACGACGACAGACAACGGACAAATTTTAATCAGAAAAGCTCACTTGAGCCTTTGGCTCAGGTGAGCTAATAAGCTCTTAAAAAATTCAACATCATTACCTTCCAGTGTGATATCTGTCAATTTTCTGCAAGCATTTTTCACAGTCAAGCCATACACTGTTTACAGCACAAGTTTGGAAATGTCCACAGGCTCAATGACCCCCGAGATCTGCCTATAATGTATTTTATGGACGTCTACTGTATGACCCAAGTGATTTGTCAGCCATTGTTGTTGTTGGGGTGATATGTCAAATACCTGAAAACACAAAAGCAGTCTCATCAAGATTCTAGAAACTATTGTACATCCTATATTTTCAAGTAAAGAAATTTATCGAAGTCAAACAACTATTTGAATTCCTGAGCTATATGTTTATTATGTAGACTGAAGTGTATCAAGCTATAAATAAATATACTAGTCTGTACTGGTCAGCCAAGTTGACTTTTAAATCAACAAAAAAAAAAAAAAACAATTACTGTGTAGAATCCACAAAGAAACATTCTTGTCAAGTTCCTGTCCAGTTTGGTTCAATTTGCCCAATGGCTCACAATAGGATTGAAAAGTTAAAGTTTACAGACAAGGTGGACCATGGTGTACATTAAATTTTATTCATTAGGTTAAGTTTCTCAGTAATACAACTTAATAAATAGTGTATTTGATATTGTTATTTTATTTTGTTGCTTTACTATTGTTTGTCCTGTTTACGAAAATAAACACAGCAATAGGTCGCCAAACCATAATGCACATAACGCAACTAAATTTCTGAAAGTCTAGGAAAACAGCTGATAAAAATAAATGGCTTTTTGTTGATAAAAAATTCCGGTCCGGCAGAAATTCATTTGGCCCTGTGAAATGCATCAGACTGTCAGTCCAAATGTCCAGTGTTAATTTTTTTTTTTCAAGAACACTGAGCAATTTAGTTGATTTTCAATTATTTCTACGGAAGTTGGCAGTTTTTTTTTTTACCACAGTCAGATAAAGCAAAATGATGAACCAGATGGAAAAAGCTACATGCACAGTATTCTTCATACACAAGTCTAATAAAGTACATGTTATTAAATACATTACATGTAAGCACTCTGAAATATGTCTTGTGTTTTGTTCTGTTTTAACTTCCATTTCTGGTAAATTTCATTTTTATAAATAGTCTATGTACTCAAATTTTGCTATGAAGATGGCTACTGCTTTATTTAAAAACTTGACAGAACATTAATAATGACTATAGAAAACATTAGTTTATTTTTAAAAAAAATTGTATGCAACCTCATGAATGTTTATTACCATTTTAAATTTTTACCATTTCTATTTTCAGACTTTTTTAAATCCCCTCAGTCACAATTCTATGTCAAGTTCGGAAAAAAAGCCAAGGGTTCCAAGTAGACTAGGATACACTCATCCACATTTGTGCAATTACATGAATGAATATCCTGAATATCTTTTCATAACCTAAAATTGGAAAATGTTCATTCCTTTCTTATCCCAAATAGATTTCTTGAATTGATAAAAAATTCAATACTGTAAAAATCTAACAGAAAGAATTTTTTGAGACTGAAAAAAAATGGTAAGAGAATGTAATTGATAGGGGTATTCTGTCATGTCATTGTTCATTTTAAAATTAATATTGTGAATTTTATGTGCAACACATTAAGTGCTCTTACCTTGGCATATCTCTACATCATTTGGTAATTGATCCACCTGTGCAATGGTAAAATAAGAAATTTATCTCTATATTTTTAGATAAACCTTACTACATAACATGCAGAAGCCCTGTCATTATTTTCCTTTTAAGAAAAATATACCCCTACCTTAATAGGTAGGGGTATATTTTTTCTTCACTAAAAGAAAAGTAATAACTTCAGCCAGTCAGGTGCCTGTGATTGCATGTTGGGAATATGTTAGGTATGTCAGGGGTGTGCAGTTAAAAAAATTAAATACTAGCCCACGGGCTAGTGGCAGCAATAAAGTTACTAGCCCCAAGTAAAAAATTACTAGCCCAAATGTAAAGGGGGGGGGGGGGGGGTTAACAGAAAATAGTTTATTGTTGAAAAAGTCAGGGTTTTAATGTCATTCTTTTTAAAATTAAAGTTTAATTCTCACTAGTAAAATTAAATCATGTATAAATTAATAATTATGATAGAAAATAAAAATAAATTCAAATAAATTATCTACAATGAAATGAAAATCATTTTTTTTTTCATCTTAAATCATTAAATACGCTGGAAATATATTTTATGTAAACCACATTACACTTATCTTTCAGTTGATTGAGTGATCGTAAATAATTTAATGAGATATCTGCATGTGTATTTACCATAAACAGAGGAATAGAGGAAATTCGGATAAGATAAAAACGATCGTTTTTGGAAGTAAATAAGTCAGGTAGCACTGCAAAATGGATAAGATTATGGAGATTAACGAACAGTAGGAACATGCTGCCGAATATATTTTTTCATATTTTGAGAATTTAATAGCAAATAACGAGTGAAAATACCGATAGTAATATTCATGTGTCACATTGGTAGTTTTAATTTTTACTAGCCCAAGGGGCTACCTCTGTGCAGAAAACTACTAGCCCGACCCCAAAAAATGGTAGCCCCGGGCGTCGGGCAATGCTAATTGCACACCCCTGTATGTTGTGAAATGTAGAGAGGCTGTGTGCCAGATCTTCACTAATTATACAGCAATTTTGATTTCCTTACATATCAGATGTGATTAACTTATATACAGTTATCTAGTTATTGTCAATTACCCCCATCTATCACCATCTCTGCTATCTTTACACTACATGAAATGATGCCCAACAATTTATGGACAAACGATTGTCAAAATTTTTATTACCTTCTCCTATTTACCTCGTCAAAACATACAAAAGTTTATTATTATATAAAATTTAATAATTAACACTTCTGATTTATCAAAGATTATGTATACGATAGTTTTCTAAATGCAGCTCGCGCCATATCAAGTCGATGAAGACAGAGGAAATTCCAAATACATACAAGTATCATTTAAATTAATTGTTCCGATACTTATCCTACTGTTGTACACATTTACGTAAAAAATAGTACATTTTAATCAATTTTACATTTAAATCAAATTTACCTAAGCAAGACATCTATCAATGGGTAAATAAATCGAAGAAACTTACTTTTGCTCTTGTTGAGTTGACCTCGAGCGCTTCTAAGTCGCCATATTTTTTAGTCAAAACAAAACGCCGCAAAGATCAAGACTAACGGAAGTTGATTTTCGGAACTCTCGGGAGTTACTTATGTTAAATTTAGCGTTCCGAGTGTAAAACCGAGATCGAAATACGGTGAGTCCGTAGAAACAACTTTTTCAGACATTTTTTTGGACAAGTCATCGTGTCCAAGTCGTGTTGGGTACTAACCGGCAAATACCCAATTAAGGCATTTTAAGTAAATTTAGCGACACTTCTTATTGGGTATACCCAATTAGCAAAAAGTACCCAATAAGTACCAACTGTGTATAAAAAGAACCCAATAAATGCACTCTCGTAAACACGTCTGTCACACTTTTAATTCTCAAACTCCTCTTACATTTTACACAGTAGCCTAATCATCTTTTGGGAGGTGTTTGGTGGTGTCATGTAGATGTGCAGTAAAGTTTCGGAATTTTCATGTTCACCCTGGGGGTCAAATGGGGGTCGAAAAATGACGTTTTTTATGCAAAAAGCCCCTGGTTCCCTGAACTCCTCTTACATTTTACACAGTAGCCTAATCATCTTTTGGGAGATGGTTGGTGGTGTCCTGCAGATGTGCAGTAAGGTTTCGGAATTTTCATTTTCACCCTGGGGGTCAAATGGGGGTCAAAAAATGACGTTTTTTATGCAAAAAGCCCCTGGTTCCCTGAACTCCTCTTACATTTTACACAGTAGCCTAATCGTCTTTTGGGAGATGGTTAGTGGTGTCCTGTAGATGTGCAGTAAGGTTTTGGAATTTTCATTTTCACCCTGGGGGTCAAATGGGGGTAAAAAATGACGTTTTTTATGCAAAAAGCCCCTGGTTCCCAGAACTCCTCTTACATTTTACACAGTAGCCTAATCATCTTTTGGGAAATGGTTGGTGGTGTCCTGTAGATGTGCAGTAAGGTTTCGGAATTTTCATTTTCACCCTGGGGGTCAAATGGGGGTCGAAAAATGACGTTTTTTATGCAAAAAGCCCCTGGTTCCCTGAACTCCTCTTACATTTTACACAGTAGCCTAATCATCTTTTGGGGGATGGTTAGTGGTGTCCTGCAGATGTGCAGTAAGGTTTCGGAATTTTCATTTTCACCCTGGGGGTCAAATGGGGGTCAAAAAATGACGTTTTTTAAGCAAAAAGCCCCTGGTTCCCAGAACTCCTCTTACATTTTACACAGTAGCCTAATCGTCTTCTGGGAGGTAGTTGGTGGTGTCCTATAGATGTGCAGTAAGGTTTTGGAATTTTCATTTTCACCCTGGGGGTCAAATGAGGGTCAAAATATGACGTTTTTTATGCAAAAAACCCCTGGTTCCCAGAACTCCTCTTACATTTTACACAGTAGCCTAATCGTCTTTTGGGAGATGGTTGGTGGTGTCATGTTGATGTGCAGTAAGGTTTCGGAATTTTCATTTTCAAGTTTTTGATGCAGTGGAAGAGCTCTCACTAATACATATCAGCATATTACTATTAGGTTTGATAAAAATATCTTGAATGATTTATTTAAAACTGAGCTTAACACTTATTTGAGAAAAGAGAGGTCAAGGTCAACGGAAAGGTTGAGGTCAAAATGTTGATGCAGTTGAAAAACTTATATCAGTATGTATTTACTATTAGCATAGAAGTTCAACAAAAATATCAGAAATGGTTTATTTAAAATGTAGATAAGGCCAAATAAAAAAATATGTGTGGTTCGGGTTACCCGACCTTCCCTATTTTATACCCCCGACCCTAAACTTTTTATTGGCAATTTTCATATTTTTCCGGAATTTCCCCCAATTTCCATCAATGGCTCCAGTTTAAGTTTTAGTTTCAGCAATGACGGCCTCCTTGCAAAACATAGTGCAAGTGTTTAATAGTGTTAAATCCAAAGCAAGCTAGCATGTAGGTGTCCCCTACCAATATTGACTAGTATATTATCACACCACATCTAAATGCCATTTGCAAAGCAGTGATAGGTACTATTTAGAAAAAAAATTAAGAAAATCATTTTGTTAAAAAAAAAAAAACAAAAAAAAATAAAAAAAAAAATAAAAATCCCTACCTACCTACCCTAATTTTTTTGGAAATGTAACCGGAACCACACATATTTTTTTGTTTGGTCTAAACACTAATTTAAAAAAGTGAGGTCAAGGTCAAAGGAAAAGTCAAGGTCAAAAAAGTTGATGCAATTGATATCTCTCAGCAGTATAATTATATCAGCATATGAAGTTTGATAAATATATCTTGAATTGTTTATTCAAAACTGATCTAGACACTAATTTAAGAAAAGTAAGGTCAAGGTCAAAGGAAAATTCAAGGTCAAAAATTTTGATGCAGTTGAAAAGCTTACATCAGTATGTATCAGCATATGACGTTTTATTGAAGTCGGACATGACAAACACTATATGCCTCGGCCATATTCATGGCAGGGCATAAAAAACTTGAATCTACACTATATGAGGATGTTTCCATATCAAAATGACTAACAAGCAAATTCAAAGAATTGTGGTCCCCTGCTTTCCGTGTCCTAGTGGATGGGATGCCATTATTTATGACATATTGTTTCAAATATGCAGGCCTTATCATATGTCATTCAAAAGTAATCACCAAAGTTAAAATTTTTGAAAATTAGGTAAAACATCAAGGTCAAGGGGTAAAAAATCATAGCATGCTAATAAACATCTTGTTACAGGTAATGTACATGTCAAATATAAAAGTCCTATCTCTTCTCAATCAAAAGTTATAAGGAAATATAACATTTTTGAAAAGTAGGTTAAACTTCAAGGTCAATGTCACAGAGTCAAAAGTCATGATATATTTAGAAAGGTCTTGTCACAGGTAATATACATGTATAATATGAACGCCCTATCTTTTCTCTTTCAAAATGATCATTTGAAATAATGTTAAATTTTTTGAAAAGTAGGTCAAACTTCAAGGTCAAGGTCATGGGTTCAAAAATCATGGTATGTTTAGAAAGTTCTTGTAGGTAATGTACATGTGAAATATGAAATCCCTATCTCTTATTATTCAGAAGTTATGACCAAGGTTAAATTTATTGTGACAGACGGACAGACTGACAAACGAACAGACTGACAGACAAATGAGATTTAATGTCCCCTACCAGGTCCCTTTTGTGAAAACGGACGACAATAATGCCCTTGCTATTCATGAGAAGAAGATTTATGATGGAAAAAATCCCCTGCATTTTTCTATGTAAATCATTGGATCCCCATATGTGGCCCCATCCTACCCCAGTGGGTCATAATTTTAACAAATTTGAAGCTACACTGTCTATGTAAAGAAAGTTTCAACTTTTTGGGCCCAGTCAGTGGTTCTTGATAAGACTTTTTTAAAATGATACCACCAAATTTTCACTAATTCTTGATTATCCCCCCTTGAAAGAGGGTGTGACCCTTCACTTGAACAAACTTGAATCCCCTTTACCCAAAGATGCTTTGTGGCTGGGTTGGTTGAATTGGCCCGGCGGTTCTAGTGAAGAAGACAAAAATGTGAAAAGTTTACAGGCGGACAGATGAATGACAAACAAAATATGATCAGAAAACCAGAAAAACTCAAGTGAGCTAAAAACTGATGATCACAAGTACTTGGAAAGAGTTACAGTATTTGAAAAGCAGTTTTTTTTTCATGCATTAATTGTTTTCAGAAGCTGAAAAGGTATGACTTGTATCCATGTTGAAAAAACTTCACATTTCAGAAAACAGTATGATTAAAAATAGTTAATCAAGGTGCTTTGAGTAGCAAAATAAGCTAAACTGGTATAGCTAATTCAACCACAGAGCTTAGTGAATTTTAAAATGCACAACCTTTTCAACTCTTAATCATTCTTAAAATATTTATATCATCATTTCTGATTCAAGGGAGAACTAGAGATATGATCAGAAGTATATCCATTGACTAATAAACATGTACATGTATATTGTGTTTTTTAAGTCATTAATGTTTGTTTGTTGTTAAATGTCCCTCTTGGGAATTTTTCACTCATACGAAGACACCACCACTTAAAAATAATGAAGACGTACAAGTCAGATTTAAGGTTAACATTCATTTTAGGAATTTTCAACAATTAATTAAGACGTAAAGAGATAACTCCTTCCCCTTCCCAGACCCCAGTTTGTTCATGTATGCAAACTAGTCTAATACTTTGGTTTGACATAAAAAAAATGTGAATACATACAAATAGTTTAATGGTCCATCTCTTTGAATGATTTTCATTCCTAATTCTAGGTTGACCCAAATTCATGAATGAAATGTCAAGTAATCTTATCATTGATGCACTTCTATTTAATTTGATGTAGTCATATTATGAACAAGAGAGTGGGGATGACCTCAAGGGTTCATAACCTTAAACCATTAGATGTACATAACATAATAACACAAGAAACAAAATTATGTCTAGTCAAATGGAAAAATTTTCTACTATTTAGGAGTCGCATGATCATTTGTCATTTCAAGGACAGGGAGCGGCTAGGGAGATTGGAACCCCCCCCCCCCTGGAATTTGCAGAGTTATTTAAATAGGACTATATACTGATTTACAGAAGCAAATAAAAAATGACTTTGGATGCCCTCCCCCTTTAAAAACATGGACCCCACCATCATTGTTTTTATTTTGTTTGTTTGTTTGTTTTTTTTTTATTTTGCTCCTCAGGAAATTCTGGGCTGGAATTTTTTTGGACCGAGGTGTGGACCCCCCTCCCCCCCGGAAAAAAATTCCCGGATCTATGCCTGTAACTGAATGTAATGTCGACAACGGGAGATAACTCTTCAGAATGTGAAATTCGTCTATTGTGGCATCGATGATCCACTCTCTACGATCGGCTCATACATTCAGTGTCTGAGAGAGAAACGAACGACAACTCTGCATAGGAGATTGCCGATGATCTTTGATCCTTTTTAAACTTTAACCTAACCATTTGCATTTTGGTTTATTTTACCCCAATCTATACTTAAACTTGTACTTACCGACTGTCATAGGTCCTGTCAACTTCATGA